AGTGTATATCGTATATATATATATATATACATATATATTATTCATACCTTCGGTGTATAGCACGCAAGTAGATTTTGACATCAAATGTTGGGGTAAAAAAGTGTGTCTTATACACCGAAAAATAATGGTACATAAACTACCCCCTAACAAGAGATTTGAAGATTTGGCTGGATGGAAAGTTTATGTGAAATAAAGTTCAGAAAAGAAGAAATAAACAAATTTGACTAACACAACATTTATTTCACACATCATATATTGTATTACATGTTCTCCAGATAAAATGAAACTGAATGAACTCAAAATTAAGTGGATTTAAAATGTGGATAATTAGCACTGAAAATAAGGTTGATAAAAACTGGACTTTTACCGCAGGTTATGGCTCTCTCAGACTAGAGAACAGACTGCCTTCCTTAAAAGTTGGAACAAACCTGATCAAAGACCACCAAAATTGCATTCACAATACACATTCTCCCTGTAGCTGATCAATCAGAAAAGAAAAAAAAAGGGACAACATATCACAGAAGTATCTCTGCTTCATATGACAGTTGCATGGAATCCCGTCAAATGCAAGAGCAAGAAGGAAACAATAAAACTATCCCGTTAAACAATAAATAAGTTCCTGGACATTCAAGCTACAAAAGGTTAAATTTTGCACAAAATCTCAACTACATTCAGCATGTTTCAAAATTATAACTTAAAAAAATTAATTTTAAGAATTTTGTAAATAAGAAATATATACTACGGGGGAGTAAGGTATTTAGTATTATTATACTACAAAAGTATCACATGTAAGTTGCACCCAAATGTGAAAACATCTTCAGTATTACTTCTCATAAACCAAGTTTGGCGACGTCGTACACAGTTAACTTACACGTACAACTACAACAACCAAAGTCATTGGTCTCAACTATCAGTATCAGTCTGTGAAATGTTAAAGCAGTAACAACGTGTCAATCATATAAAAACAAATATTTTATACTTCAGTTGTCTCCTGGGCACGGACTTAATTAACTATTAAAACGTTTATAATATTAATAGCTACGCAAGTCACTTCTAGCGAGAACAGTTCAAAATATGGTCACATGCTGTGTGAAATTTACTGGTTTGATGCAAGTTAATGACTCGCCCTCTGTCGGGCGGTGCGTGCTTGTTTCGCGTAAGTTTTATGGAGATCATTATATAGCGAACACAGAACGACATGTAATGAGTAAAATTCAATGTACACCAAATGTATTTAGACTTACAGCGAGTGAAACTCGACATTTTCGAATAGATAGCTTTCACAGTTTTGATAAGCAACAAAGAAAGCTTCCATTAGTGAGCCAAAACGTGGCGAATTAATTCATATAATATTCTGACATAACCTTTTCACAGTAAAAACTTTTATGAAATACTTAACATCTATAGTTAATTTTAACCTCACTCCCAAAACGAATTAACAAACGCTTAAAAATTCATTATAAATAAAAATGTTTATGAACTCAAATATTTTTCACGAAGTACCTTAATTAAAATACAAGTTTCCAAACAACTACATAGTGAAAAATCCCTTGCGACTGTTGTGACATCTATCGATTCAGCTACACAAACTGGCGTGACAAGTGTTCTTGTAATAAAAAAAATTGTTACTTTAATTATTTTATTCTTTATTCTCCAGAGAAAGGGATTATTTTTATTACTCCCGCATCAATATTAACATACTTAACCCTATTTTTTTATTTTTTGTATGAAATGTTATAATTAAATTTTAATAAAAAGTCTTGACTCCTCCCATTTGTATTCATTGATCGTTGCTTATGTTGGTTTAATTTTGTGATGATAACATTATGTTGACTAAAAGCTGTGCCTCTAATCTTAGTTTCATTTCCTAGTTTTTGAGCGTTTTAATGTTTTTCGTGTATTACTTTTACGAGATTCCTAATGTTAAGTGTTATGTAATGCAGGTATGAAGCATTATCCCTTCAAATTAATAGTCTGTAGTTCAGTCACTTTTTGAACTTTAATCGAAAAACAAAAAATAATACGGATAAAAAAAACTTAAACATTATATTTTAACGTTTAACGCTTTTCATTAAAAACAAATGAGAAAACATAAGTGCTTTCAAAAGTTAATAATAACCACTTAAATACTTACGAAAAATATATTCGTTAACCTTGTCACTTACATATTTACGAAACGTTTCGTTTTAAAGATTAATAAGTCGTACAAGTACCCTGAAAAATTACAGCTGAGATAGTCAATACTGAATTAAATATTCACAGTATATCATGCAGAACGTTCATACAAATATATATTTTTAATACTAACTCTTAATCTCCTTTTAGGTATTTTCAATAAAAGTATGTTTTTGATGAGATGCATTTAAGCTAATCTAAGAAAGGACTGCGAACTAACATAAATATAGTGTAAAACTGTTATCAATCCAAAGGAATAGTGAAAAGGAATGCACAAGTTTATTTTTGACACATTATTTCTTTCTTTCGGAATTTTCGCACAAAGCTACACAAAGTGCTATCTGCGTTATGTCCACCGCGAAAAGCCGAACCCAAGATTTTTGCATTATGAAAATTGCTTCTCACCAACTGGGGACAGAGGAAAGGCAGCTATTCAGCAGTATCCATCTAACTTTTGGGCTATTCTTATCTGATAAATCGAATAGTCGAGTTAACCATCACTCTTATAGCGCACTCACAGCTCCAAAATGCGGAACATATTAATGTGCCATAGGGACGCCAACCACGAATTTCTCAACCATGCCCAACCATATTTTGTACATGAAGACATATATTTTAAATCTTAATAGGTTACTGTTACTCCAAAGTTTTTTTTTTAATTTTTATCAATGGTATGTGTGTACAGCCTGGATCTTGTACGTTGTAATTTTGTTAAAGTTTAATGCATAGAAGTACTCTCATACATACATACACAAGTCTTTAAAGGTAAGTTAATTATTTATTCCGTCTCCAAAATATATACATAAATATAAAAATAATACGTTTATCATATAAAAACCAGCCTTAATTTCACATCACTCGCTCTATTCAACAGCACAGTCTACCCAGAATTGACCGTGTCACCAATCAAAGCAGTGCACTGTTAAGATCTCAACTACAAGAGAAAACTTTGTGAAAACCTGTAAATTACAGGGCATGTCTTTAAAATATAGTTATTCTTGACAAATAAACAGCGTTTTGGCCCGGATATAAACTTGTGGGTCCCAGACAATCACATGATCAAAATTCGCAACAGATACAGACTGGTGTCGTTACTGGCTCTGACTAAAAATCACTTTTATACCAGTCTGTATTATTATTTGCACTCATTCCTTTATTTTGTATAGATGGTTTTGTCTTTATATTCTTAATTTGTTCCTTCACAATGGTAAATAGTTTAATATAATTAATTACATTTTACATGGTTTAGTCTCATATATTTTAACATTCTTCATTATTATAGAATTTATTTATACAGGAACTGGGTTGAGCTTATTTACTTCATATCAGTCGAATTTACTTAGGCTATACGTGTTTTATTTCAGTGTACAAATTACCATTCCGAGTAAAACTTTAAGATATGAATACAGACTACTATAAAATAACGGTATACGTAAGGTATAGTTAAAGAGGGTAATCACGTAAATTCGAAATAAAAATAACGTTTTGCAAGGAAACTAAAAAAATGTATTTATATCACTATGATATGTTAAAAGAATTTATAAAATGTCTTACTATAGATGTAACGTTCGACAGAACAAACGTTACCTATGCGATACCATAGATAAACTATTTTCAATTAAAACTTTTAATCTAATTATTAAAAAATATTATTTCAGCTTTGCAGAAGTTACAGCACTAAAAGAAACTATCTTTTATTATGAGTACTTATTACTTTTCTCTGAAGTTAAGCGAAAGAAATACAATACTAATTTCTAAAAGTAACAAACTGTAACAGAAACTTACCAATGTTTCTTAAATCAGCGATCTTTTCCGGACTACTGCTGGACACACCACCGTGAAGCTCGGACGGGATGGGTTGAAGCAGCTCGTCTAACTTCTCATTCTCTTCACCCGAATTTTGATTACATTCTCTATAGATATTACAAACTTCCTCCAAATCCATATCTGACAACTCCTTGTATAACATAGTACGCTGTTTACTTGTTAAACACGACCAGAATTTCAGCAGGTGTTCCTGGTCGTACTGTTTTAACGTTAACCTAAGTGCTTCCACGTCCATCTCTCCTGTGCAAGATCTTCGATTAAAGAACAAAATAAACGTGTTATTGTTAGTTAACTGAAACAAATCCTATAGCCTCGTTCTTTTTTTGAAGAACAACATACAAATACAGATTCAGTTAATTCTCTAAACAGTAGAATTGTTTAACAATGAGTAAATTATAGACATCACCTCAAAGACTAACTGTACTATCGATAAATAATTGTTTAAGTTTAGAAGGAATTACAATTTAACAAAATTGGTATTTTATACCATTTTTTTTACTTCTATAAGTTATATAATAAAAGGAAAGTTTAACAAACAAAATATGTACAAAGAGCACATAAGTAAAATATTGCAGGAAGTTTTAACAAAACACACAAAAAAACAGAAGTTTAACACAACAGGGTTAGGAAAAGCTTGACCATTTTGATTTTATGCACGCTTAATTAAATAGTCTGAGAAGAAGCTCAACTAAACACAGAGTTAGAAGCAAATTTAACCCATTGCCTTACAATTTTCCTCGAAATTTTGACCCATATATAGTATTTTTTTGCGAATGATGTACAACTCGTAATACATAACACAAAATATTTTATTTTATGAATGATTATAAGACTAAGCTTTAATTAATGTTTTATATATACATCAATTGATTAGGAACTACTTTTCGAATAAGTACGATGACAAGGTAAGACAATGGGTTAATGAAATAGACATTAGAGGAAATAAAAAAAAATATAAAAAATATAATCAAAGAAGCAATAAAATAAATTATGAGAGTTTTATTAAAATATAAAAATCTGGTTTAAGGTAAGAGAAAGTTTAGTCAAGTAAAATTATAACAATTTAAGAAAACAGAAAAAGCTAACAGTTTCACAAGAAGAATACAGGAGATTTAACAAAACGAAAAAGAATAAGATATCAAAAGTTTACAAAAGCAAGGAGTTTAAAGGATTAACAACAAAAATAAAAAAGACTAGAGAACGTTTAAAGTAAGCTAAACAAAACTATCAATTTTGAAATCTTACGTTAAAGTAAAAACTTTAATAAGTTTAATAATACGTTAAGAACATTATGAGCAAAGTTAAAGTGAAGTGTACGAGTGATAACAGTTTGAAATACAGATTCCAGACAATAAACGAGTGATATTAACGATCTGACTCCCACTAATAACAACATATACGGTCCTCTTGTGATAATTGTAAGTTTATTAAAACCGATAAACTGTACAGAAGAAAAAAAAGTTCAAAATAATAATTATTTATTTTATGATTTAAGGTGAATGTTTATTATCCAAATACGCTTGAGTTTTAACATAAATTGAAGTAATGGAATCTAAGTATGCCAAAAAACTTGATAAACTTATTTTAAAAACCAAGTCATAAAAGACAAATTGAGAAAAACTATATGACAGACTAGTTTCTCATTTGTCTTTTATGACTTGGTTTTTAAATAATTTTATCAAGTTTTTTTGACATACTTTAGTTATAGTTTAAATATGATTCTTTATATAATGTTACATAGCATTATCTAGTGGTATAATGACGCACATGGGATTAAAAAAATTCGAATATAACACACTTAAGTTGAATAATGTACCACATTCAAAATTACTCTCAATGCAACTACCAACATATAAACTTGTGCCACAGGGGAGACGTCTAATTACTGTTGATGACTATGCACCAAGTTACGTACTATTAAATAAACCACATAATCCATTAATAATAATAATAATACAACCTAGCCAGTCAAAGTTGTGATCCTGGGTTTTTGTAAGTCAACTAACAGCGCAAATTACAGGCTAAAATGATATTTACACAATTCTTAAATAAAACAACTTTAACAAGTTACAACGAAGAAAAACTTGTACCGAATTTCACTTCTTTCTTCAAATCGTTATATACAGTACTACTCTTAATTACTGGTTCGGTCACGAGCAATTACTCAGTTTCTCGTCTTACAAAACATACAAATTCCCTTGCTTTTTACAACAGCTATATATCCTGGAAGGTACAGGAAACTCGTGTTCAGGAATGGACTCGACCGCTCTGATAATAAGACCACGTACTCACATGCACATGCAAACGTGGCAAAGTAGGCGTGGCAAACAACAAGGTATCTCAACAATGATTGACCTAATATATATATATAATAGTTACAGCTACAAGTTCAAGAAATTAATAACGCCTTATCTTTTACTGTCCCTTTTTTAATAAGAAATTGAATTTTTATTTATGAGCATCGGGTTTGAAAGGACTAACAAAATAAAGAAAAAAAAAGGCGAGCAACAATAAAATTGTTTTATTCTGGATTAATGGAAAGGGAAGAAATAATAAGTAGAATCTCATCCACAACAAAAGCAGTTTATACTAACATATCATAAATCACATCGAATTTGCGACAAATACGCAAATTTTCTTCCGTACAAAATTCCAGTGAAACTAAATTTATATACACACAACATAAAGTTAATATATCCTTTACTTCACATTATGAGAAGCTTCCAATCGACTGATGTTTGTTTTCTAACCCAAAACACGAGCCAACTGTTGCCCACAGTCAGCTACAATATACTTAGGAACGCAAGCATATAATAACGTTTTCTCAGCGCATTCCAAATTGTCGCTTCACTGACATTTAAATATAGAATTTATTATCATTAACCAAATGAAAACTTTAATATGTTTGATATTTACAGATTGTCTACTTTTTGAATTAGCATATATTAGCATATTTTTAACATATCAAAACAATATCACACACTGTATGATTTCCTTAACTCACCGTAAACATTTTAGTACTTGCATACACCCCCCCCAAAAAAAAGTGCAACGGTATCCCTGATTGGTTCTATACTTAAAAGCGCAGTTAAAAAAATTAAGTTAAATAATAATAATAATGTTTTTTTACAAAATCACTTTTTAGTTTATTAAAGCATCATTCAGACGTTCACGCCCCACCGGTTGAGAACCGACACCCTAACTACTACAGTGATAATAAGCACCAAATATAAACGATTTATTAGAAATAAAGTGACAAACGTAATAGCTTATATAAACATTAATTTACATGAAATTGATCCACATGGATTTGTAAATATCGGGAAAATACCGGAAAAACGAAAAAACATATATATTCAAGAATTGAATGTATTACAAGTGCATGACCTACTATAATACCTTATAAAAAACAAAGGTTTATGGGTTACAGATAATTCATTAGATAGCACTTCACTTTGTAGGTTAACATTTATTAGCCTTGAACACAACTTCACTTATGAAGTGTTTGCCTAATTAAAAAATACAGAATGAGAGAGAATTCATATGACAGTTTTGTTTGTTTGTAGATAAGCACAAAGCTACACAATGGGCTATTTGTACTGTGTCCACCACGGGTATCGTAACCCAATTTTTAGCGTTATAAGTCCATAGACATATCGCTGTGCTACTTGGGGGGGGGGGGGTGACTGTTAAAAAGCAAAGTATCACTTTTGTGTTGTTTTTTATTATTTTGTAACAATTAACATATGTTTTGTGTTGTTTTTTATTATTTTGTAACAATTAACATATGTTTCTTTCTGTTAAATATGGCAAAATACAGTACTACTCTTATTTGATTAATATTATGTTTTTTTTTGAATTAACATTGTCAAGTCAATAATTTTTCAAGTCAGTTATGAGAACCTTTGGTTATGATTACAGCTAGAAGTTTTTAACACTGGCTAAAGTAAAGACTTTCCAACCAATTATGGAGTCCTGTCAATGTGCAGTTCAAGAAGCGTGGCGCTGCCCCTAATTTCGAACCACCAACCATACAGAAGCTACCAGATGGCAGCAACATCTATATTTTTATTTAGTTGTCTGTTAATTATATTTCACTTTAATTATTTATCATTTTGTATATTTCTTACACCAATTTACCAATGTAAATAAAAAGTGTTTACGTTTTAATGTAAAGAAATGGAATTCATGGGCAAACAAAGGCACGCCAAGTGAGATTTTAATGGCATACCTGTGATAAGGTCAGGTTATTTCTTTTCATTCAGTAGACATGAGGATCTTTATTTAAATGAACTAAAAAAGAATATCAATAAACGAAACTGTTTTACTTTAATAAACGATTGTTTGTAGTTAAAACACACAACTACACAACAGGCCATCTGTGCTCTGTCCACCGCCAGTACCAAAACCCAATTTTTGGCGATATAATCCTGCGGACTTACCACTGAGCCAATGTGGGACAAAATAAAACATTAATGTGGCTTTGTTCGTTTTGCCATCAACCATATCACATTTTTTGAAATTACAGATGAAATTGCTATCATCTGCTATAACACCAAATCTTATATTTTTCCAAGCTGCATAATTCTAACACACCCAAGTTCGTGTAACGATTTATGAAGATGTTAATAATATAAAAAAAAACGAAAATTAAAAAAAACAATTGTTTTTTTTTCTATTAGGAACTTTAATTTTTTATTCTTCTCAGACAGTAGCTAAATATAATTGTTACATAGTTCAGATTTCACGTGAAAGTGCAAACAGATGCCAGTCACATGCATTGTTAAACAGATAGTAAAAACGATGAACAGTACTGTACACAGCTACACTAATAAACGCACCAATGTGTGTTTATTAATAACAAAACTGTAGAAACGGAAAATCGTGCAAATAAAACAAATACACATACTGATACATTTGTTCACAAAGAAAAAACTACAGATTGCATATTCAGTTACAATAATATATATAAATTTAGAAACATTTAAACAATAAATATCATTCATCTAAACTCTAAAGCAATGCTTCTCACGTGCATGAACCATTCACACAGGGGTTAATGAGATCAGAATCGGGATGAATGGTGAATTTATTCCAGTTGTAGTTGGATAAATACATTTATTTTTGTTTATTTTATATTGTATTCATTCTAGTTGTAGTTTGATGTATATTTAAGCCATAATAAAGAATTGTGCATATTAATTTAGTATTTCTTTTGTCTTTTTTTTTAACTGGGGTGAGTGAAAAACTT